TCCTCTTGCCAGTTGGCTTCTCCTCCACAGAGGGTTCAGAGAGGACAGGTCCTCAGAGTGTCCAGTAGGACAGACATGCAACTGATGATTCAGAGGGTGCTTTGGAGTCACCGTGTCCATTGTCTTCTAGGCCAGTTCCCTGCTTTGATGTCACACCCGCTGGAGTTCAGGAGCTGCTCCACGTGCCTCATAACATTTTACAATAATATATTAAAAAATCAAACTAGAGGCTGGATCAGAGAGCACCAAACGTGTCTGACAGAAAACACCCAGCCTCCTGCCCCCTTCTGTTTCCTCTCTAAATTGTCATTATGTTTGATTTCCTGACAAAATAGATGAATGGCTGGGGATATAGCTCAGCAGCACAGTACCGGCCTGGCAAGCTCAAGGTCCTAAGTTCAATTCCTGGTACAAAAAAAAAAATAGATGAGTGTTTAGCTCTACCACATGACCTCCACCGCCCCATCCCACTTCCACATATGACCTCATGGGTTTTGGATAAATAACTCAGTTTACTTTTAAGTATGTAAATACTGTTTAATGTAGAGCATAACAGTATATTAAGATTTTATTTTCTTTTTTAATACTTTTTTTTCTTAGAACAAATCGTTACCTCACTTTTATAACAATTTGTTTCCCAGATTGTTTGTTTTTAAAATAAGGTCACGCTATGTATAGGGTACTTCGGTGTTTAACTTTTTGAGAAACTGAACTGTCTTCCAAAACAGCTGCACCATTTAACATTCCCAATGGCAGTGTGTGAGAGTTCTGATTCCCTGGAACCTTTTTCTTACAGCCATATGAAGTGGTATCCCGTTGTAGTTTTGATTTGCATTTCCATGGTGATTAGTAATGTTTTGCATCTTTGTATGTACTACTAAATTTTTTTATATCTTTGTTTTTTTGGTATTGGGAATTGAACTCAGGACCTTGTACTTGCTAGGCAGGTGCTTGTGCCACTGAGCTATATCTCTAGCCCCAGATTTTTTTTACATCTTGTTGAACAAATCTATTGAAATTGGGGGTTTTCTTGACTTTGTTTATATCCTTATGTACAGTATTTTTTATCTCTCTGAGACACACACACATGTACCACACATGTACTATTTCTTATATCCCTGTATTGACTTTTTTTTGGTACTAGGAATTGATTATCTCTCTTTCTTTAGGTTCCTTTTTGAATTTATCTTTTGGAAATGGAGGCTTTTCTGGAATGTCCAGTGACCTTTGGTTATTTTTTTTCTTTCCCTCCTTCACTTCCTCCCTCCCACCTCCCTTCATCCCTTCCTTCCTTTTTTACTCTTTTTTTTAACTGAAACAGGTCTCACCATGTAGTTTAATCTAGCCTGGAACTCACTGTGTAGCCCCAGCTGCCCTCAAACTCCTGATCCTCCTGCCTCAGCCTTACAAGTACTTGGACTAGAGCCTGTGCCACCACACCTGGCTTTTCATTAATATTTAAAGTGAGGCTTTGACTCACAGGTGTGAAGGGATGGAGCAGAGACTGCTGCTTTTCTTGTAAGCCTAGTAGTTCCATAGAAGTGTAATTTTATAATTTAGTTCCATAAAGAAATTGAAAGCCATGCACGCCTATAATCCCAGCACTCAGGAGGCTGAGACAGGAGGTTCACTGCGAGTTTGAGGCCAGCCTGGGCTAAATAGTGAGTTCAAGGCCAGCCTGAACTGCATAGCAAAACCTTGTCTCAAAAATACAAAAATGAATAAATAAAACTTCAGAGTTTGCAAAATCTCATTGTGTAGAAATAATACAGAACAATAAAAATACAAATTATACTGGTGCATCAAAGATTAAATAATTGCTTAAGCATCAAGACAGGAACTCTTCTATAACAGTATAAAAGCTATTATGACCAGGCATGATAGTGCATGCCTGTAATCCCAGCATTTGGGAGGCTGATACAAGAGGATTATGGGTTTAAGGACAACCTGTAGCTACATAGTGGGTTCAAGGCCAGCCTGGACTACATAATAAGACCCAGTCTCAGACTACCACCCTAAAAGCTACTTTGAATCATGTTGCCATGAGCTTTAATCCACAGGACTTTTTTGTTTGCATACCTGTTCTCAGTTCTTTTTAGTGTGTATCTAAGAGTGAAATGAAATAGCTGGGTCATAGTTTTTTGTTTTGTTTTGGTCTTTTTGAGACAGGGTCTCGCTATGCAGTTCAGGCTGGCTTTGAGCTCTCTTTGTAGCCCAGGCTAGTCTCAAACTCACAACGATCCTCCTGCCTCAGCCTCCTGAGTGCTGGGATTACAGACAAACACTCTCATCACTGAACTACATCCCCAGCCCTTAATCTTTTTTTTTTTTTTTTTTGTCTTTTTTAAGACAGGGTCTCACTATGCAGTTCAGGCTGGTCTTGAACTCACTTTGTAGCCTAGGCTTAACTCAGCAATCCTCCTGCCTCAGCCTTCCGAGTGCTGGAATTACAGGTTTATAGGTGTGTGACACTACGCCCAGCCTTTAACCATTTTTTAAACCTGTTGAATTACATTCAGTGTTGCCTATCAAAACTTTTTCTTTTCTTCTTTTTTTGCATTAGGATATGGAGATTCAACTCAGGGCCTTTGCATCGAGCTAGGCCCTCTGCCCTTCTGAAATTTTTTGTTTTTAATTTTGAGACAAGGTTTCACTAAGTCACCAAGTTGCCTAGACTGAGCTCTAACTTAGATCTTCTGCTTCATATAGCCAGAGTATTGAGATTACAGGCATGTGTGTCATCACACTCAGCTGTTTCCAAAACAGTTTTATCATCCCAAACATAAGCAGTAACTCTCCATTACCCTCTACCCAGCCCTAATAACCTCTAACTGTCTCTCTCCATGAATTTGCTAGGTCTAGAAAGTTCATAAATTGAGAGGTTTACAATATTAGTCTCTTTAGTTTGTCATGTTTTCAAAGTTCATGCATTTTGTAGCATATATCAGAACTTCATTTTTATGGCTGAATAATAGTCATATATTATGCTATTTTTTTCCTACTCATTCATGTGTCTACTAATGAACCTCTGGGTTTGTCCTTTCTGTTTGAGTTACTTTTCTCTTACTGCTGAGACAAAATACCCAACACCCAAAGTTAAAGAAGGAAAGTTTATTTACCTCAGTTTGTAGAGGTTTCAGTCCGTAACTGGCTAGCTCCAAGTCAGGGTAGCATGGCAGACTGACATTGCGGAGAAGAAACAGTTCATGGCAGGCAGAAGATAGCAAAACAAGCAAGAGACCAGACAAGCCTCCTTCTGTCCCTTATATGTATCCAGTCTACCAGGATTAGGGCAATGCCAAACCAATCATTGGACTTAGTAATTACCCACCCTTAATCCTAGCATTGCATCATGAATCAATCACAAACTCTAGATTCAGCCACCTCTAAAAAAGCCCCATCTATGACTGCATGAGGCTTTTTTGGGGTTTTGTTTTGTTGTTTGTCTTTTTGAGACAAGGTCTTGCCATGCAGTTCAGGCTAGCCTTGAGCTCACTTGTAGCCCAGGCTGGTCTCAAAGTCTAAATGATGCTCCTGCCTCAGCCTCCCAAGTGCTGGGATTACAGGCATGCACCACCAAGCCCAGCTTTGCATGAGGCTTTGAGTGGACATCTAGACACAAGCCATGACAGGTCGTTTCAGCCTTTTGTCTACTGAGAAGAATGCTGCTATGCATGTTGACATACAAATATATAAGCCAAGGGGCTGGGGATTTAGCTCAGCGGCAAAGCGCCTGCCTGGCAAGCGCAAGGTCGTGAGTTTAGTTCCCGGTACCGGAGAAAAACCAAAAACAACAACAACAACAAAAAAGACAAATATATAAGCCAGTTTTCAGTTCTTTTGGATAAACATCTAGGAGAATTGTTGACACATAGGATAATTATTTGAGAAGTTTCCAAACTGCTGTTTTCCACAGCACCTGCAACATTTTACATTTCCACTAGCAAGGCAGGAAAAGTTCCCATTTCTCCACACCCTAACACTTTCTTTTAAAAAACTGTAGATATCTTAATAAGAAAGGAAATAGTCTGATTTGCCTTTCCCTAGTGACAATGAGCATACCTTTGTGTGTGTTATGGTCATTTGTTATCTTTAGAGAAATAGCCAAGTTCTTTGCTTATTTTAAAATTGGGTCAGGGGCCGGGGATATAGCTCAGTGGCATAAGCGCTTGCCTGGCAAGCCTGAGGTCATGAGTTCGATTCCCGGGACCAAAGATAAATAAATAAAATTGGGTCATTTGTCTTTTTATTGAGTTGTATGACTCTTTTATGTATTCTGGAAATACTCTGTGGATTACCTTCACATAACTTTTTTCGTCTTGTTTTGAGACAGGGTCTCGCTATGCAGTTCAGGGTGGCCTTGAGCTCACTTTGTACCCAGGCTGGCCTCAAACTCAAAGTGATGCTCCTGCCTCAGCCTCCCAAGTGCTGGGATTACAGGTGTGTGCCACCACACCCGGCCTTTTTTTTTGAGACAGGGTCTCACTATGTAATTCAGGCTGGCCTCAAAATTGTGGCAATCCTCCAGCCTCTGTCTCCTACACACTGGGATTATAGGCGTGAGCCACCACACTCTGCTCACTTTCTTTTTTATATTGAGACAGGGTCTTGTAAATTATGCCACAACATCTAGTTTATCTACTTTTATTTTGTTGTTTGTGCGTCCTCTTTGTGATGGTTAATCTTACCAGTTTGAGAGTAATAAATCACACTTGTGAGCGTATCTGGCTCAGATGTAGGGGTGTGACCTTGGGGACTGCATCTGGTCCCCGTTCCTTTTCTCTCCAGTGCTCTTCCCTGGTGCTCTGCTTCCCAGCTGCCCTGAAGTGAGGTCTCTGCTCCGCCATGCCCATGGTCTTAGTGTTTCTGCCCTGGAGCCAGGGAACCAGGGACTGAAGCCTTTGAAGCCAACGGCACAAATAAGCTGCTCTTCCTTAATACCTGATAGTTGCTGGTGTCAGTTACTTTGTTGCAGCAACAGGAAAGGTGACTGGTACACATTTTTTAAAATTATGAACACATTAATAAAAAGTAAAATTAGGATAAAAATGACTGAGGCACTGAGAAGCTGACAGAAGCTCTATGGGCTTCTTGAAAACATTTCATCACTGTTGCCAGATGCCCAGGAAGAACATGTTAGAGGAGAAAAGGATTATTTTTGCACATGGTTTTGGAGATTTCAGTCCATCCATCACTGAGGTCTGTGGGAGGCAGAGATGTCATGGCAGAGAAGGGCACAGTGCAGGAAGGCCGTTCGCGTCCTGCAGCTAGAGAACAGAGAGCAAAGGCACCGCTGGAAGCGGCTGGGGTCTGAATAGTCTCCACAGCCACACCCCCGGCCAGGTCACCCTCCAGCCAGGCCCCACCTCCTGGTTCCATCACCTTCAACAACGCCATGACGCCATCTCACTCACGGCATTCATCCACTGATGAACTTGGTGTCCTCGTGATCCAGTTGTCTTGGAAATGCCCAGACACGCTCAGAAGTGTACTCTTGTGAATTTCCCTAGGCATTTACCCGTCCAGTGAAGTAGATGATCAAGATGAACTGTCACAGTAGGCCTCTATGGACACTTTCCTAAAATAAAGTAAAAATTATACCAGAATTACAAAAGAAACCATTAAACACCAGTTATATAGGTATCGAAACATTAAATTTGTGAGACAGTGCACATGTAGCTCTTTGATGTACAAATATGTAAGCCAGTTTTCAGGTTGCTGAGTTAAGTGACAAGATCAGTGAATCTGATTACTGTCATCTCAAGGTAGTGATGACCGTAAAAATATTTCAGTATAATCATGACAACTGTAATGTGGTAAGAAATGATCTGTGGTTTTGACGGATGGCAAATCACTGGCACTACTAACATGAGACCTTAAACTGTAAGGGAGAGGGCAAGGTCAGGTAGCCTGATTGGAGGAGTAATTGAGACCGCAAGTATAGAGAGCTGTGCTGAGTTTTCCTGTACACTGGGGTGGAAAAGTGGAGGGATACGGGCACAGAGAGGAGGATGGTTCATGGTGGTAGTGTTTTGTTTTGTTTTTTAATAGTGCAGTGTAAGCATGTTCACATGCTGAGAATGAATTCACTGGAGAAGGGAAATTAACTATATAGAAAAGGAACAATTGCTGGAGTTGGCCATAGGTAGGGGAGAAGGAACTAATGCACAGAGGAGGGCATGCACAGCTCTCCGTGTGACAAAAGACGGGCAGAGTGTGACAGGAGACCTGGCAGGAAAGCAAGGCCATCATCATGGAGCAGAGGGGGAGGGGCAGAGGCGTTTGGGGCGAGCAAATGAGCAGGGGATGTGGGAGGCTGCTGTCAACTGCAGCCAGAGAGAAGGCCAACTGTAAATTTTTTCTCTCAGTTTAGTTACACTGTTTTGGCAGTGTATCTTTATCCTACTACTTTCTATAAAATGGTGTCTGGCCATTTCTGAAATTCTGTCAAATTTGGCTTGGCTTATATTAAAGATTTATTAAATACACCAAGTTGAGAATTATATTCCTAGTGAATGTCTTTCGTTTTGTTTTTTTTGAGAGACAAGGTTTTGCTGTGTAGTTCAGCCTGGCCTTGAACTCAAGGTGATCCTTCTGCCTCAGCCTCCCAAGGGCTGGGATTACAGGCGTGCACCACCATACCCCACTTCTCAGTGAATGTTTAGTGGTCCACTCTGTTGGAATATGTGTGTTTTCCCTGAGCACCTCATTCTGTGTATTCTGGTACTGAGCAGCCTTCCTTTAGTGTCTTTCTGCTACATTTCTTTACATCGTTTTCCTTCGAGCTTTCACTGTCCACTTCAATCACATCTTGTGGGGGCTGGGGATTTAGCTCAGCGGCAAAGCGCCTGCCTGGCAAGCGCAAGGTCGTGAGTTCGGTTCCCGGTACCGGAGAAAAACCAAAAAACCAAAAAAAAAAAAAAAATCACATCTTGTAATCAGCATGTATGATACCTGGGTTTTAGGTTTTATCTGCTTGTTTTTTCACAACTATATAACATGAGCCAGGCATAATCCCAGCATTTGGGAGGCTGATGCAGGATTGTCAGGAATTTGAGGCCAGCCTGACCCTATTTCTCAAAAAACAAAAAAACAAAAAACCACCAAAACTATACAACATGGTCTGATGTAATTTCTACATGTGGGTTTATTCCTACGAAGAACTGGCAGTGTATCTGGTACAGCAGTGAGCAGGACCCTGAATTTTTTTAGTTATACCCTTGCTTTTCTTTGTACTTTTACCACCTGTGTATCATGTTTGTATCTCAAAGGAATATATTTTTGTTTTGCTTGTGAAATGTATACTAATAGAACTGTAGTGTATCTTTGTGAGGCTTGCCTTTTTGAATTCAACATTATTTTCTGAGATTCACCCATGTTAATACCTGGTCCTATAGTTCATTCTTTTCATTGATTTGTAGCCCTCTGCTATATGAATACACCATTGTGATCCATTCCACTAGTGTGGGGTTGAATTATAGTTTCGGTCCTAAACTTTTTTCTTTGGCAGTACTGTACATGCCCTCTTCTTTCAGACATGGTCTCACGGGCCAGGGATATAGCTCAGTGGCACAAGCGCCTGCCTGGCAAGCACAAAGTCCTGAGTTTGGTTCCCAGTACCACGACCCCCCCCCCCCCAAAATAGACAAAGTCTCACCAGATGGCCCAAGCTGGCCTCAAATTTATAATCCTGCCTCAGCCTCCTGGGATTATAGACAGGTACTACCACATTTGGCTTGTTCTGCACATTTCTTTCATTCTTTTTTTAGAATAGTGAAATACAAGTAGATTAATAAAAAATATATAAAAAGCACTCTTCTATGAAAAACCCACTGTTGAGATATAATGAGGGGTGCTGGGGATTGAGCCCAGGCCCTCACACATGCTAGGCATACACTTTGCCATTGAGTTATACCACTAGCCCCAAGAAATAACTCACATACTATAAAACTCATCCCTCTAAGAGTATACTGTTCAGTGAATTCTGTTATTCACAGGATTTTGCAACTGTCACTGCTGTGTAGTTTTATAACATTTTCACCATCCCAAAAAAGAAACCTTGTACCCATTTAACCATTATTCCTAATCCCCTCTTTCTGACCCCCGTTCTAGCACTAATGTACTTTATTCTCTGTAGCACTGCGTATTCTGGGTATTGCCTCTGAATGGAATCATAAAGAAGCTAACACAGTAAAGCACACGTTATCTACCACATTTATTGAGTGTTAACGTGCTGTAGTATATATCAGAACTTTGTGCCGTCTCAGTGCGGAATGATCATCATATGGCTGTGTCATGCTTTATCTAGTTACCAGCTGGACAGTGGATTATTCCACTTTTTGGCTATTTTTTTTTTCTTTTTTAATTTGTGCTAAGCATATGCTTTATCACAAAGCTACACCCCAGCCTATTTTTAATTTCATGAAATCTGATTTTATCACGTTTTGAGACCAGATTTGAGAAACTATTTACTAATCCAATGTCATGAAAATTTACTCTTGCTTGCTTCTAATAATTTATATTTAAGTCCTTTTAATTGGTTTCTATATATGATATAAAATATGAGTCTAACATTCTTTCACATTTGGATATCCAGCCCTATTTTTTCAGTAACAATAACCCACAACCTGCAGAACAACTTTCAGCCCCATTTATTAAGGCACCATTCTTGCCCTGTTCCTGACACCCTCTAGTCATGGGTCAGCTGACCATAAGTGTAAGGCTTTCTTTCTGAACTTTCTACTCCAGCACTGACACACGTGTATACTTACGCCAGTACTGTACTGTTACATTTGCTATAGCCTTGTAAAAACTTTTGGCATGGGGAAGTGAGTCCTCCACCTTTGTTCTTCAACCATACACAGGTTTAAAAATTCAGTCAGCACTGGTCATGATCGCACATCCCTATATATAGTTCAGCTACTAGGAAGGTTGAGGTGGGAGGATCACTTGAGTGCAGAGATTTAAGACTAGCTTGGGTCCAGGTGTGGTGGCACACATCTGTAATCTGCACACTGGGAGCCCCTGGTAAGAGGATCACAAGTTCAAGCCCCATCTAGGCAGTTTAGTAAGTCCTTCCCTCAAAATAAAAAAGGGCTGGGGGTGCATCTCTGTGCAAACGCCCTGTAACACTTTTTTAGCTTCTGCACTGGTTCCTTACCATCATTTCTCAATGAGGTGAATTCTTCCTTATGAGCTCTTGCAGGTATACTAGCTGGTTGTTAGAAAGGAACCAGGACATGTCTCAGGCTGGCAGGAAGGGGACAGGTGCCCAGGTGAATTCTCTTGCCTTTTTCTTCACCCTCATACAGTCACAGGGCCACATACCATACAAAGCCCAAGCCAGGCATGGTGGGGCACACCTGTAATCCCAACACTTGGGAAGCTGAGGAAGGAGAATCTCTGAGTTCAAGGCCAGCCTGAACTGCATCATGAGAACTACAAAGGCCTCACCAGCCCGGTTATTCTTGGTGCTATAGTCCACACCTTATTTTTATTTCAGGTCTCCTGTTTTGTGTGTGGTGTGGTACTGGAGATCAAATCCAGGGCCTTACACACACAATTTAGAAAACCTCCCACCTTTAACCATCATCTACAGCAGTTGTCATTGCACATGACAACCTTCCTTCTACATCAAGTTTGAGCTTTGTGGGAGATTTGCACTTCAATTTCTTGCTTACTTTGCTTTACAATAATTTCTGATGGGGTAATACTATTTATGCCCTAACTTTAAAACTGGAAGTCATGCTAAAATGTCAGCCTTGTTTAGTGGGGTGTGGTGGCACATAGCTGTAATCCCAACACTGGGGAGGCTGAGAGAGGAAGAGTGCCGTAAGTTCGAGGCTAGCCTGGGCTACATAGTGAGCTCAGGGGCAGCCTGAATTACACAGTGAGACCCAGTCTCACAAAACAAAACAAAAAAATCAACCTTGTAACCCTGGGCTAAATGCTTCATAGGATGTTTATTTTAAAAATTTTTTCAGCTGGATTCTTCAGTCCCTTGTGTTTTACTGTTAATACTGGAAGTGCCTGGTTCTTGGCAGACTGACCTGCCTGCCGGGTTCCTGAAAAAAATTGTGTCACCCTTCATATCTGTTTAAGTCTCTGGAATAGTTTCAGTGGATAAGCCAGAGTTATCTGTTTTTGAAGGTTTTGTAAAAAACCTCACCCAATAAGGCTGTTCCTTCTGCCAAGGATCCCAGCATTTGGCTGGCTTCACTCACTCACATACTGACCCCAAAGCTGGGAACAACCATGCAGGCTTCCTTTTCTGAGACTGGGTCTCGCTATGTAGTTCAGGCTGGCCTCAAACTCATGGCATTCCTGCCTCCACTTCCCAAGTGCTAGGATTAAAGTCTGTACCACCACGTCAAACTCTGAGATGATTTTTAACTTCTACTCAATTTTGAAAAAGTGCTTACTGGTTTAGTCAGACTTTCTATTTCTTTTTAAAGTGCATGACAGCAATTTGTTTTCCTGGGAATTTTTTTCCATTTAGGTTCACTTTCCTAATTAACATAAACTGTCCTTAGGAACTAGGGAAGAGAGCTCACTTCACCTGTATTATTTCCATTTTTCTCAGAGTATACTGACGTGTAGAGAGGAGCAGCTGCTATCACCCAAGGATGAGTGATGCATATGACCATGTGCTCAGCTGAGTTTTACCTTTTCCCCCTTTTCTCCCTCAGTCTTAGGAAAGGTCCTCAGTGCTGTGGGCAGTGCCCAGCTACTGATGTCCCAGAAATTCCAGCAGTTCCGGGGCCTCTGTGAGCAGAACTTGGTGAGTGTGGCGCTTCTTCCAGCACACAGAGCTTCTAGCCTTGGGCTGCGTGCCCGTGGGTCCTCAGCCTCCATGACCTTCTTGGTAGCAAGGGGACAGTGCTACTGTTCCCTTCTCCTGCACTGGGAAGGCCAGATATGGCCTTCCTGAATCAGACTGCTGCACAGAGTAAAAACAGCCATGTGAGACTTCCCAAGTCAGTCAGCACACTTGTTAACATTTATCTCATGTCCAAGCTGACACAACAGGTCGATCTCCTCCTTCATGATCACCTGTCAGAGGACCTGTCTGCTGGCCCATCAAACCCCGGGGCAGCATTCCTGTGGAAGTGTGACCCTCAGGTGGGGAGAATGGAAGGCATCTGTGTCTCTGGGACCTACAGGCATTTTGGGCTTGTGTTGTCAAAGAACAGCAGAGTGGGAGGAAAGCAACATGGATCCTATGATACACCCACCTGGGAATGAATCTGGCTTCCCCCTACCTTACTGGGAAAGCCTGGCTGAGAGCTGCTTCCTGTGAAATGAGAACCAGTGTGGTCTGCCTGCATGCGGACAGGAGTACCTTCCTCACCATTAGCCCTATGGCAGGTGTGATGGTCTTAATCCACATGTATGTGCAGGGCCTATTCTCATGATGAGACTGTTCCCTTCTCCCAGTGGTCTCCACCACTGGGACTGGCACCAGGCAGGAGCTGGCTGTATTCACTCACACAGAGATACTCACGGGGACACCGGGAACCAGGGAGTCGGACTAGGCTTTGTGAGCCCCTACCCAGTGCTGGCAGGGCCAGGGGACCATGAAGTGGGACAAGCTTCCGCTTTCCTGGCCCACTGATTTCTGATTGCCCTGTAGAACCCTGATGCCAACCCACGTCCAACAGCCCAGGACCTGGCAGGGTTCTGGGACCTGCTACAGCTGTCCATTGAGGACATCAGCATGAAGTTTGACGAACTCTACCACCTCAAGGCCAACAGCTGGCAGCTGGTGGAGACCCCCGAGAAGAGGAAGGTGAGCATGGAGCAGTGCGGAGGGGAAGTCCAGGGACAAATTCCTGGTCGGCAATAACGCTGCCCACATCGGTCAGTGCTGCTTGGCTCCCTTCTCCGTGTGTCGTCTTGAGCTGGGCTCACGTCCATCACTGCGCGGGGTCCATGCTTGGCACCTGTCCAGCATGCTGCTCGCTTTGTAGAGTTGGGGCTGCCCACTGAAGCATGCTATCCTGCCCTGCACGTTTAGGAAAGGGAGTTCTGGGAAAGATGTGCCCATAGCACTAATGGAGACATGGCTCTTGGAACCTTGGAGGCAGCACAGCAGTCCTTTCTCCTGGGGCCTTGCTGCCAGGAGTGGGGTATGGGCCCAGTGACACCTACCCTGTTAGACTGTGGTCCTTCTAAGTTCTAATCCCCTCGGACAGCATGTGAAATGTGACTGGGAGTCAGAAGCCCTAAATTTAAGTCCCATTTCTCGCTGGGTGACCAGGTTCCCTACTGCGCAAAGCAAGGTGGTAACAAGTGATGTGTCTGCCCTCTCCTTCTAGAACATTGTAGGATTTTAATCGCTTGCTTTTGGCTCCTTTACCTTGTGCCACTCCCACTATCATCGCTTCTTGTGGCTTCAATTCCAAATGTGTGTTGCTTGTGCCTGGTGCAAGGAGGCTGGGCGGGGGCGGGGGCGGGGGCGGTGGGTCCAGCCACAGCATATAGTAGCGGGTAGCACCACAGCAAATGTGGCACTTGTATTTTATTTTTGTTCCCTCCTCACTGTCTCACTAAAGGAAGAGAAGAAACCACCCCCTCCAGTCCCAAAGAAGCCAGCCAAATCCAAGCCGGCAGTGAGCCGAGACAAGGCCTCAGATGCAGGGGACAAGCAGCGTCAGGAGGCCCGCAAGAGACTCCTGGCAGCCAAGCGGGCAGCTTCTGTGCGGCAGAATTCAGCCACAGAAAGTGCAGACAGCATCGAGATTTATGTCCCTGAGGCCCAGACCAGGCTCTGAGACCATGGAGGAGGAAGGAAACAGTTTTAAATAATGAAAAAACAAAAATCAGTACAGATGGAGCAAAATTTTATCAGCAGTATGGTTATTCTCTCTAGAGACCCTGAGCCAATTTTCAAATTGATGCATACAAGGGCTCACAATTTGGCTTTTTTGGGTCCCTCTCAGCTTTAGGTTATGAAGACTTCATACAAAAAAACCGTCAACAAAATTAGAAAACTTTTTTTCCCTCTTGCTGGCCGTGGTGGACTAGATAGATGGACTTCAGCAACTCCCCGGCCCAGCCTCAGACTGCGGTCTTTTTACTTGTTCTATCTAATGAGAACTTAAACTAGCTTGTTTACAAGACGACGACAGTCCAAGGGTAGCCTTGGGCACCTGCCATGTCCCTCCTCCCAGCTGCCCTGTTCTGACCTTGGATTTTTCATTCTACATTTTTCTTTTCCCTTCAGAGCTCACACAGGGGTCACCATCAAGGCCAGCGGCTTTCTGGTTCAGTCCTTTTTGTGGCTGAGGGCCCAGAGAACAGCAAGATGGACACGCATCCCCCTCTCCCACCAAGTGCTCACACACGCTTGCACGCGTGCACACAGACGGGCTGCCCTCCGCTGGGACCTGCCAGCCCTAGGTAGGGTCAGGCAGGACTCATCTCTCAGCAGACGAGCAAGGTGTTGGTCTCGGGAGAAGTAAGGTGAAGCCCGTTACCACACCCCAGACTCCAGCTGCTTTCTTTCCAGCCCCTTCTTCCTTCAGCAGACTTAGGACTCACAGTGGCTTCAAGGGGGTTGTCTGTCTGTGGCCACGCCTGTGTCCAGTCCCCGAGGGCAGGTGGCAGTGTGCACATATGTGTACATATGCACATAGACCTTAGAGTGTATATTTAACGCCCACCTGCTCACCCATGCCCACCAGCGCTGCCGCCACCGCCACCGGCTCTCGGGCACCTGGCAGGAGTGTGAATAGCATATATTTTTACATGTACTATATCTAGGTGTGTGTACAAGTGTGTGTAAAAATATATACCTTGTGTGTAAGCAGCCTCCTTTTCGGGGGGGGGGGGGTCCTTCCCTCCTATCAGCCCAGCCTCTGAGTTTTCTGTTGTTTTGGGTTTTTTTGTTTTTTTTTACCCCAGTCATCCCACCCTGCATCCCCACTTCCAGGGTGGCACGAGCCCTGAGCTGCAAAGGCCCTGGTCTGCAGGGTGGGGTAGGGAAGGCAGGGCAAGGCAAGGGCAGGCAACAGGGGCCGTGTGCAGCAGAGCTCAGCACACAAGGGGCTGCTCTATACTGTGTATACGATCGAGGGCACTGGAGACAGCTTGTCTGGTGCGTGCTGCAGGGGTGAACTGAGGGCCTGCTCTAGGGCCCCATTCCAGCTTGGCCGCCATCTGTGACCTTGGGCAAGTCACTCGACCTCTGTGTGCCTCAACTTCCTCCTCTGTAAAATGGGGACCGTCCCCGCCCCTCCCTACCTCACAGGCATGTTGTGAGAATAAATGAGGTAATGTGTACTATGGGCTCATGGTGTTATTGCATGGGATGGGCCGGGATGGAGGAAGGAGGGTGGCAGTGGACGCTCCCACAAAACTGAGCCAGACCCCTGCTCCGAAAGACAGCTCTTTGCAGACAGCTGATGAGAGTAAACCCTAATTCCAGCTCTATTGCGTGCTCACTCTGTGGTTCTGGGTGGGAAATGGAAGCACATGCCCCCATCTGGAAAGCATGTGTGTCACATTTACTCTCTCATCTTCCTGTGAGAAATAAGTGCTTTATGCCCGGTGTGGTGGCACACACCTGTAATCCCAGCACTGGGGTGGCTGAGGCAGGAGGATCGCAACAAGTTTGAGGCCACCTGGGCTACACAGTGAGTACAAGGCCAGCCTGAACTGCATAGTGAGACCTTGTTTGAAAAAAACCAAATTTGTGCTTCATCAATAGTTGCTATAACAGGAATCAGGATGGGCAGGCAACTACCAGATCCGGACATTACGCATCTTCCAGGATAGGGGCCCCACGTCCCCTACCAGCCACACCGCCCGACAAAGGCATGCACCGAACACTCACTAGGCACCGGTGCCGGGCACAGGCTCCCTGCAGAGCTCACCGTGGCCAGGGAGACAGAGCTCAAGTGTATGACAGGTAGAAAATACAGTGCAGCAGACGAAGGTGGCAGGAACCAAGCAGCACACCCAGCTGGGCCTGGGCAGGAACATTCTGGTCCAGACCACAAGGATGAGCAGGTACCAACCAGCTTGAGGGCTGGGGAAAGGACACTGCAGGCAGTAGGTGCCAACCTTGGGTGGTAGAAACAGAGCTTTTAGCAGGTTCTTGGGCTGGGCTCTGGAGGTACAGTCACCCTGTTTCTCCCTGGGACCCAGCTGGATACCAGGGACCTCAAGTCTAGAGGCACAGATCCCACTTTTCCAGGAATTTTCCCAGGTTGCAAAGCCCTTCCCAGCAAGCTCCTCTTGAGTCCTCCCAACTGTGTGGCCAGAACCTTGTGCTCAAAGCACTTCCCCATGTACCTGGATCCCAATTCACCTACTGTGTTTTTGTTGTTGTTGTTTTTTGAGACGGTCTCATCATGTAGTTCAGGCTGGTCGTAAACTTAATATGCAGCCCAGGCTGGCTTTAAACTCGCAGTGATCCTCCTGCCTCAGTCTCCTGAGTACTGGGATTATAGGCATGTGCCACCATGCCCAGCTCAAATACACCTTCGTTAGTGGTGGCTGAGTGTCAGTGACCATAGGTGATTCTCAGTGACGTCTGGGGCTGCTGCCTCCCTGGACCTAACCTGCCTGGAGACCCAGGGTGAACTGAGGGTAAGAGGTTGCACTTGCAGTTGTTTGGGCCAGGCCCACATTTCTACACCCAGCACTGAGCCAGCTGTTCAAAGGTGTGAGTGAATGCAGGGGAAGAGAGCAAGCCAGCCAGGTAACAGCCCAGCTCTACCCCTGAAGGGCTTCAGGGGCTGAGGAGACCTTTAGCCCTTCAGAACCTGAAGATTTCTGTTGTGGCACAGGAAGGCCCTTGAGGTTAGATCAGGCCTCAGGGAAACAGGCGCTCTCCTGCTATCAGAGGAGGAGTTGGGAGAGGGCATGCAGAATCAGAGCCTCTAGAACCAACACTCCTGGCCCAGTGGCAGGGATCCACACCCCCACAACACAAAGACATTTCTTGTCTGACAATACCCTTATTGCTCTAAAATTAACAAAGGAATCTTCTTTGTACCTGCGCCTCTTCTACCTAGGAGGGTACTCAAAGCCTAGGTACTAATGCTACCTTAAGTGCCAGACATACTCTAGAGACCCTAAGTTACCTGTGGCCTTTATGGTTTTCCCTAGTCCATGCAGATCCAATTAAGGATCACACATTCCTTTCAGCTACCATGCTTCTCTAATGTCTAAATCAAAAACAGTTTCCTCAGGGGCTGGGGATTTAGCTCAGTGGCACAGCGCCTGCCTGGCAAGCACAGGGTCATCAGTTTGATTCCCGGTACTGGAAAGCAAAACAACAACAAAAAAAACCAACTTGTCTTTAACCAAAAAAAAAAAAAAGAAAAAAAAAAAGAAAAAAACTGGTACCGGAGAAAAACCAAAAAAAAAAAAAAAAAAAAAAGTTTCCTCATCATAGTTTTCATTTTTCGCGATAAAATGTATCCAAGCACCTTTTGGACCAGTGTGTAATTTGGGTTTATCTGCTTCTGTTAGATTCAGAGTAACCACTTTGACAAGAACATGACTTGGATGCTGTCCCGTTCCCCTAACACCCTATCCCGTCAGGGAAGCAGCTGTCGCTTCAGGGAAAGGCTGACTGCAGCTTCCCAGAGAAGCTGGCAGTGAGTCCTCCACTTCTGTGGTTCCAAATCCTGGGCCCTAGGGGAATGGAGAAGACCTAGGGCAGAGACAGACAGGAAGCCCCCGCTGGACGCTATTGGATGATCAAGGAAGAAACCCAGGGGAACAGGCGACTAAGACACCTTGCGGCCCAAGAAGCCCAAACAGGGCTGCAGATGTGAGAGCAGGGAGACTCAAGCTTCCTTTCTGGGCCTCGAGCTCCCCCAGGTGTGCAGGGCTGCCATCTCCTAACCTAGAGAGCAGAGAAGGGAGACCCAGCTGCTACCAGGAGCAGCACTGAGCCCCGGGGCCTTAAGCACAGAACAGCAAAAGAAAGCCACTGTGTGGGCCAAGGGTCATGTGGAGCCTGCGAGGGTAAATGGTGCCCAGGACAGGCCAACTAAGACAGTCTGTGCCAGCAGCAATGGAACTGCGCTCATGGCAGAAACCTAAAGGTGTATCTCCTGCCCATCTGAATCTGTGGCCAAAACCAACATGGACCTCACTGACAGTCTAGCCCCTGCCTTGCGGCAGCCAAGGAAACCTTTCAATGCCAAGGGGGATACACTGCTCTGCACAGAACCCTTTGTAGCCCGCCTACTGCCTACAGGAGAAAAGCTGGCCTCCTCCCCTTGGGCTTGAGGCTACTCCCAGCACACCTCCAATGACAGCAGCCCTGCACTCTACCTTCCAGCCTCTACCGGAGCACAGGCACTAGGCTCTCCCACCACAGCACTGCGCGTTGGCTCTTCCCTCTGCTCCTAGGCAGGGCAGTGTCAGCCCCCTGCTCTACACTTTGTTGCTCTCACTGCTGTGATGACATTTCTACCTGCATATGCAAGCATCCGTCTCCACCTAGGGGAAGGTGGCTCCCTGAGGGCAGGAATGAAGTTTTTGATTGTGTCTCAGTTCCTAGTCCAGGGTGGAGCCTCAAGTACGGTTTTCTAACTGAATGACCTTGGGAGGGAGGGGCAAGTTTTTTGCAGGACTGGGTTTTGCAGGATGGGAAGGAGTTCTCCAGGTTGGACACAAGGTTGAACACAGGCAGAAGCCTGAGACTATGCTGCTCAGGGAGGGACCACCATGCAAGGACTTTGACTGCCAGCGCCAGCCTTAAATGGTCAGGTATATTTCCTGCTACAACACTCCCCCTAACTCCCCCTGCCCCATGAAACAAGAACCTCCAGTCCCAGCCTCTGACAGCAACCAACACTAGGGTTTGTTTCCAAACTATGTTAGCAGAGATGATGTTTCTTATGAGGCAAACAGGGGACATGGACCATTAAGGACCCTTATGGCTAAAATGATATCTAAATTCGCAAATGTATCTCTCCCTGAAGTCCACACTTCTTGCAACATATGCACTTGGATGGCTAATAAAGTTTCAAAATGAATAACCCACCAACTGATAAAGTAGCAGAAATTTAGGACTTAGAAAATTTCTGTTTAGCAACCATAATTGCAATAATGATATCATCAAATGTTAGAAATAACGGGTATGGGCAGGGGATGTAGCTCAGGGGTAGAGTACTTTCCTAGCACATGTGAGGCCCTAGGTTCCATCCCCAGCTTTGCAAAAGTGAAAAAGAGCAATGGGTGAAAGTTTGATGAGGACCAGAATATTCAGTCTCAAAATAGCATCCCACAAATTCCTTATTCATGAATAAACTAATTACAAAAGGAAAAAGTATTAATTTTATGATGGATGAACCTATTTACCCAGACACTATTTTAACTAGGTGGTCAAAGTTAATAGCACCAGTAATGGGAATGACAAATACATCTCCATCCAAAAAAAACTAAAATAATTTCTTCAAGCTATAAAAGTATTGTAAAGATACTAACTTCAAGCAGAAAATCCACAGTTAATACCATTTCCTAAGTGTTCAAAGTACTCGCAATAAAGCTACTTGCTGTAAGCAATTTATAAGCATAACCTAGGAATTACACTTTAAAAAAAAGAAATGAGCAGATGCTCAAGAGCAAGATGCAACCCCAAACTTCCAGCTCGCCAAAGGCAAACCTAGGAGTAGGAAGTGAACAATCTGAAAACCACCCATCTGGACTCTCTGAAGTGGTTAACAATGCAAGCAGCAAAGCACATAATAAGGCTCTACAAAAACAAACAAACAAAACAAATCAGAAATAATTTCTCAGAGAACTACAGAGATGGTGACCATAATGAAGGACATAGTCAGTGACTCTAGAGCAAATACACATTAAAAAAAAGAAGAGAGAAACTTAGGAAAATGATGGAAACCATGAATGCCCAACATAGGAAAGAAATGGAATCCATGAAACATTCAGATATCCAAGAGATTAAAAATCCCACTGAAAGTATAATGCAGCAGAATGAGCCAACAGAGGACAGAATATCAGAAATAGATGACAGGATTGAGATTAGTTATCACGAAAAGAGTCATTTCTTAAAAAAAAAAAAAAAAAATCAACGCCTGGCTAGATGACGCAAAGAAGAAAAACATAAGATTGATCCGAGTCAATGAAAAAGCAGGAGATAGCACAAATGACATAAAAAAAACCTGTTCACAGAAGTCATGGCAAAAAACTTTCCAAGCATGGAAAAAGAATTTGACACACAGAAAAGTGAGCCACATAGAACTCAAATTATCCATGCTAAAAAAAAAAAAAAATCTACACCAACCTATATAATAGTGAAGATTCCAAAAATTCAACACAAGAATATTAAAAGCTGTTATAGTAAAGAAACAAATCCCCATCAAAGAAATCCCATCAAAATCACAGCAGACTTCTAAATACAAACCCTCAAGTCAAGAGGAGCTTGAAGTATTTCAAGCCCTAAAACAACCTCCAACCCAGATTGATGTACCCTATAAAACTATCTTTCAAACATGATGGAAAAGCCAGGCGTGGTGGCACATGCCTGTAATCCCACCACTTGGGACACTGAGGAAGGAGGATTGCTGCAAGTTCCAGGCCTGCCTGGATTAAACAGTGAGTTTAAAAGATAGCTTGAACTACATAACAAGGCCTTGTCTCAAAAAAAAAAAAAAATTGATGGAGAAATAAGATACTTCCATGACAAAACCTGAGGAAATTCATGAATACCCAACTAGCACTCCAAAATGTTCTGAAGGGAAGTCTAGAAAGAGAAAACAAAGACTATATACAAGTCTATGAACTCCAACAGAATGAATCCAACAGGCCAGGCAAGCAATTAAACAGGGTAGGAAAAGGGGAGCAAACAACAGGAAAAATAACATGACAAAGGTAAGTCAATGCATATCAGTTACAACCATCAATGTAAATGGTCTCAATTCACCAATCAAAAGACATATACTGGCAATGGATCAAGAAGCAAGATCCAACAATATGCTGCATACAAGAAACACATCTAATTTAAAAAGAAACTCACAGACTAAAAGTCAAACAAGTCATGCAACAGGAACCAGAAAAAAGCAAGGGCAGCTATTCTATTT